AGATTATTCCATGATTTCTGCACATTTACAGTAGATAGTTAAAAGCACTTAATGTCATAACAGTACTAAATACTGAAGCAAGTATCCCTGCGGTTGGAAGCTATACTAACTCTCAGTTCAACCCACTTAAATTAAGTGACTCTCCACAGCCAATTAAAGTGAAAAATGTTATAAACAGAATGTGTTAAATCATCTTACTCTAAATTACTGAACTAGGGTACCAAGAGATGGGACACATACTTTATATAGAAAACAGTGTGTGTTTCTAGTATCATCTAACTGAAATAATAGATTCTTGAAGACCAACATGTTTTCTCTCAATGACTGTGAAGATTCTTAAATATTATTTATTCACTAACAATATTATTGTAATTATACAAATAAAATACAAACACCCTATATATACAAAATAGATAGAAAATTTGAAAGAAATACAAGCTAATACCTACTTACTTCAAAACACTCAAATTTTTTTATTAAGAAGGTTTAGCAAGGCCTTCCCATGAAGTCAACTGTCAGCATGCTTGTATTTATCACAAAACAGGGAAGGAAATCCAATGACCTAGGTCAGGACAAAAGGCCAAGTTCAAGTTACTGGGAAAGACATTTAGATCAGTTCTCTAGGCATTTCTTCCCCAGTTTTCTTCCTAAACTGTTTCTATGCACATATTGTCTTGTAATAGACTTAATATTTGCTTTCTACTCTGTCTCTTCCCTAAGATATTGCATAAGTGTCAGTTCCTTAGTGAGGTCGACATCAAAAGCCTATGAAATACTGTAAATTTCTTCCTCTTCCTATCTGTGATGTATTCTGTTACTGTATTCCTACCATGGCATTTATTCTTTTGATAATCCTATGTTACTATACCCCTATTCTGCAATATAATCTCAAGTAAACACTTCTTAAGTACTGTATTCTCATGTCTGGAGGAATGACAGGAATATCACTTGTATTAATCTAAGATCCCGTTTGTTTATTTCCTTCAAATTTTTACCAATGTGTGATTTTTTTTCTTTACCCAGATACAAATCCTGTGTAGACAAAAGGAAGCTCTTTGAGGGCTTGTATTTGGCAGCTATGTATGTCTAGATATGGAACAACAACAAACAGGGACATCAGACAGGTGACAATAGCAGTGTGTGGCATAGGAGCTAGCTCTGAAAGCATGATAGCTCTTAATGTGTGTCTAAATTTTTGGCATTATGGCTATGGACAGGTGTAGGTAAAGAGATTCATTACCTCTTAACAACCACTAGTGTTACCACACTTATATATGCCTAGCAATCTGGGTTTAACCAGCTGTTAGTCTCAGCTTAAGTGCCTGAGACATTTGGCCTGACAGATTATACAGCTCTGTAGAAATCTTCCAGTGACCAAAGCCTGTACTTTCTCTTCTCCAGCTCCTTAGACCAGCTTTGCTATTCCTCCCTCTTTTGCCATTCTCATAATTTCTGGACCTCTTGTCTTCCTGTCCTGGTGGTTCTCAAATTATTCACCAGCTTGTTCTCTAGTATCCATATGTCTGATTACTTTAGAGCTTGGCCTGTTCTCTTCACTACTCGATTCCATTACCTCTGCCAACATTGCATTCTGTTGCCTCTGATGCTTATTTCTTTGTGTTTAGTTTCATGACACTATATGAAGGCAAAAAAAAAGATGACGTGGGATAACCCTTTTATTGTACCTAGTGTAACTCCACCACAGGAAGAAGCACATGAGACTGTCTCCTGGTCTATTCACTCAGTTTTCCTGGTGCATTGTTCTATAGACAGAGAAAGGTATCAAAACCAATCATAACACACCCTCAGGCAAATAGAGATTTAGTTTGAACAAATCACAGCCTCAGCTGTTTATACCAGTCACAGGCTTCCCGTGAAAGGCCATCAAGGAAGTGTATCTAGACTAAGCAAAAAATGTTAAAAGGAGATTCAGAGTTGGTTAAGGTTTATTATTGTGTGATGAATAGTTTTATGCCAATTTGGCACAAGCTAAAGTCATCTGAGAAGAGGGAACCTCAATTAAGAACATGCTTCCATAAAATGGTGTTTCAGGCAAGACTGTAGTGCATTTTCATAATTATTTATTGATGGAGGAGGACCCAGCCCATTGTGCTTGGTTTCATTCTTGGGCTTGTAGACTTGAGTTCTATACAAAAGCAGGCTGAGTAATCCAAAAGGAGCAAGATAGTAAGCAGGACACCTTCAAGGACTCCAAATCAGTTCCTGCCTGCAGTTTCCTGCCCTGCTTGAGATCCTGCACGCACTGATTTTGATGATGAACTGTTATATGGGAATGTGAATGAAATAAACTACTTCCTCAAGTTGCTATTGATAATAGTTTATCATCACAGAAGGGGAACCTCAACTAAGATAGATATTGGTACCAGGATTTGGGGGTATTGCCGTTACTGATGTGACCATATAGTTTTGGTAGGATTTTGTTCTTTTGTAGAAGGACTTTGGAATTGTGGGACGGGAAATCTGCTGAGTTTTCAAAGCTTGGTGAGCTGTTTTGTGGGAGGTGGGAACATATAATGTGAAAATAAATGCAGAGGATGAAGTCCTGGCTTGTGACCTTCCAGTGTTTCTCTGGAACCACTCCACGTCTCTATCAGGGCCTTATACATTTTAAGTTAAGAAACTGTAGTTTTGTTAGCTGGAATTGAAGAATAGCTGTGATTAACAATAGACTAGCACCACTGAGGTAAAACCTTTGCTGGAGTTGTCAAAGCTAGTCACCTGGAGCTAAGAAATTAGCAGTGATTAACAAGAGACCAACATCATTGAGGTGAAATCTTCTGGGGAGTGCTTCCTCAGGTTCAACACACAGAAGTTTTGTTATAGATGTGACTAAGATTGTGCTTCTTCCTGGAAGCTGAACTTGGTACTGGAATAGTTACCTGGTTTCGAAGGCATGAAGGGGTCATGGAGAGCAGCTGAGACTTGAGACTGTGTGGCAAAGTGAAGTCCCTGAAGAGAGCATAGGAGAAACTGTTAGTGAAGGTGCAGCCAAGTTGCAACAATGCACCCCTGCATTATGGCTATGCCAATACAATGGGTTCACCAACAAGAAAAGCATGAGTGGTGGAGTCTAGCCAAGATGTTTGTGCTGCATAGAGCTGATCTAGGTAGGTAACAGAGGCCTTTTAAGAAGCCCAGAGGATGACAACTGGATTCCAGACATGGGATCTTGAATATGACGTAGCTTGGTTTGACTTTTTTCAGATTGTATGACTATTCACTGATTTTGCTCTCTTGAAGTAAGAAGGCATTTAAATTTATAGGAGCCTACAGTTGAGAGACTTTGGTTTTTAAAAGACTTGATTTTAAAAGAATAGAATTTTTTAAGTCTTTTAAAGTTGTAAGAATGAGTCTTTTAAGTTTGAAAATATTTTATATTGTGATATCAATATTAATGTTTGTCTTGAGAATGAACAAGAAATTAAAGGTTGTAGCTTAACAGTGGTATGTGTGTGTCAAGCTGACAAATGGTCAATTGTGTTAAATATTTTTATGTCAAACTGAAGCAAGCTAAAAGCTTCCATAAGATCCAGTTGTCTAGAACCCTATGGGGCATTTTCTTAGTGATTGATGTGGGAGGGCCCAGCCCAGTGTGGGTAGTTTTATGCCTCAGCTTGTGGTCTTAGATTCTATAAGAAAGCAGGCTAAGCAAGCCAGCAAGCAGCCGGATCATAGTACATCTACATCAGCTCTTGCCTTCAAGTTCCAACCCTGCTTGAGTTCCTGCTCTCACTGCCTTGATAATGAACTGTTATCGGGAACTATGAGTGAAATAAACCTTTTTGTCCTCACATTACTTTTGGTCATGTTGTTTCACCGTAGCAATAGTAATCGTAAGACATATCGCCAAGTCCAGTACAAACTGAAATAATCCTTATGATTGTAAAGAAATTATCTGTGGTCATTTTTTGTATTTTTTTAATCCATCAATCAGGGTGTCTGTGAATTATTCAAAATGTTGGAGCTGGCATAATGATAGTCTAGTTGGCTATTGTTTGGTGGTTCTTTTGCTAATAACTGTTAATTGTAGAATCAAACCATCCTATTGACGTATTCAGCCTGCTTTCCTATAAAAGTCAGCCCCACCAACCTACGGTGGTACGACCCAGTATGGACTGGACCATCTCATGTCAATCAGTAATTTAAAAAGTAGTGCTCTGCAGCCTAGTATTATGGAGGTATTTTCCAAATTAAGGTTCCCTCTTCTTCCGTGACTATAGATTGTGGAAAGTTGATACAAAACTAGCCAGCACAGAGGGAATCCCTATCTATCTCAGAATGACGACAGAAACATTTAATTTCACACTGGTTAATAAATCTCACATTGTGACAAATTATACACGAGGATAGATTAACAAACCACTGTGCATTTTTCATGGGTCTGATGATTTTGATCAAATAATGTATGCTACTTTAAATCCTTTTAGTAAGCCAAGAAATATTTCTATTTTTTATTCTATTTATGTGTCTGTTTCTCTGTGTGCATGCATGCACTAGAGGTCAGATAACCTTGGAAGTCAGACAAGGGTGGTGTCAGGTTGCCTAGATAGAGTGGCAGGTGGTTGTGAGCTGCCTGATGTGGATGATTTGAACAAATCTAGGGTCCTCTCCAAGAGCAGTATGTGTTGATAATTGTTCTAGCTCTCCCCCAGAACAGCTGTAACTGCTTTAGACATACATTTAAAACACATATGGGTTACAAGAATCCTATGAAAAAGGTCATGTTGCCAATTCTATTATACAGTCAAAGAAACTGACAATGTTAATGCTGCTTTGGTTATATTATAAAAGGAGAAAGCTCCCAGAAGAGTAGGTTCCATACTTTCAACTGAAGGGTCATGGTTCAAATGCTGCATTGCTGCTTTGGACAATTTCATTGCATAGTTTTAACTCATTTTCTTTTCCTAGGACATTCTTAAACATTAACAGGTCTGTTAATAGCAGTGGTTTTATAGACATTTCTCTTTTCCTTTTTGCAGTGGGATGCCATTACTGAAATGGATGAGCACAACAGGCCCATACATACATACCAGGTTTGCAATGTCATGGAGCCAAACCAGAACAATTGGCTTCGTACTAATTGGATCTCTCGTGATGCTGCACAGAAAATTTATGTGGAAATGAAGTTCACACTAAGGGATTGTAACAGCATCCCATGGGTTTTGGGAACTTGTAAAGAAACATTTAATCTGTATTATATAGAATCGGATGAATCCCACGGGACTAAATTCAAGCCAAGCCAATATATAAAGATCGACACAATTGCTGCTGATGAAAGTTTTACTCAGATGGATTTGGGTGATCGCATCCTCAAACTCAACACTGAAATTCGTGAGGTGGGGCCTATAGAAAGGAAAGGATTTTATCTGGCCTTTCAAGACATTGGAGCATGCATTGCCCTGGTCTCAGTCCGTGTTTTCTACAAAAAGTGCCCCTTCACTGTGCGGAACTTGGCTATGTTTCCTGATACCATCCCAAGGGTGGATTCTTCCTCTTTGGTGGAAGTGCGCGGTTCATGTGTGAAGAGTGCTGAAGAGCGGGATACTCCTAAACTCTACTGTGGGGCTGATGGAGATTGGCTCGTTCCTCTTGGGAGGTGTATCTGCAGTACAGGCTATGAAGAAATTGAGGGTTCCTGCCATGGTAAGATGCAAAAATGCAAAAATGTATCTCCTATCTTAAATTGTTTCTCGAAAATTATTGAATGTGCTTCCTGAACTTTTCTTGTTGAAGAAATTGACTTCTGTTAACTATAAAGAAAATCCGATATATTACTTTTTTCCTTAATATGAAGGAAGATATAGCATACTCCTTTCAATTAAACTCTATGCATTCTTGGATTTTTATAAAGGAAAATACCAACCTCAGTGGATTACTCACCTCTGATAGTAATAGCTAAAATTTTCACCTACGTTAGATTTTTAATTTTAGTAAGGTTTTTAAATGTTATTTTTAAGAAAAAATAATGTTGCAAATACATTTAAATTTAAAATTATAATTCATGTTCTTGTTTTTTTAAGATTTATTTATTTATCACATATACAGTGTTCTGCCTACATGCCAGAAGAGGGCACCAGATTGAATTGTAGATGGTTATGAGCCACCATGTGGTTGCTGGGAATTGAACTCAGGACCCCTGAAAGAGTAGCCAGTGCTCTTAACCTCTGAGCCATCTCTCCAGCCCCCTATAATTCATGTTCTTATGAGAATGAAATAATTATAACTAAAGGATTTTTCTCTCACATGAATCATCCTATGGAGATGTCTTAATTAAATAATATATGAAGGAAAACTCCAACCCAAGGAAGCTAACTACAACCAGAAAAACATAAGCATTAGAGAATCCCTCTCTACCAACAGCCAAAAGAACAAAGGGGTGAAATTCCACCCATAATTCCACCACCAACAACCATCGCAAATCGAAGAAGGATGAGCAATCAATGGTCATTAATATCCCTCAATATTAACGGCCTTAACTCACCCATAAAAAGACACAGACTAGCAGAATGGATTCGAAGACAGAACCCTTCCTTCTGCTGCATACAAGAAACACACCTCACCCTCAAAGACAGACATTACTTGAGAGTTAAAGGTTGGGAAAAAATTTTTCAATCAAATGGACCCAAGAAACAAGCAGGGGTAGCAATCCTAATATCTAACAAACTAGACTTTAAAATAATTCATGTTCTTATGAGAATGAAATAATTATAACTAAAGGATTTTTCTCTCACATGAATCATCCTATGGAGATATCTTAATTAAATAATATATGCATTTAATATTTTTACTTAACCTTCATAAAGAAGATTTATGTAACTACATTTAAATTTAAATTTCATATAATACATTATAGAAATACAGTGATCTTGTTTTACACCTTGGTTTACTATGGATGTTCAGCTTTCAGTGGTAAGTTATTCCTAGGAATTTTTTTCCTCTAGCACCAAATTATATTTATTCACTTGTACACTGGCATTACATTTACATTTATTTTAAAAAACAAAAGACAGAAAGAAGTGAAAGAAAAAATATTCTTCTATACACATGTAAATAGTGAGCAATAAAAGTGAATATTAAGATGTTAAATCAGTAGGACACATGGATTCTTGATTATCACAAATTTCAGTACATTAAGTGATTGTCATATTTGATGGGGAAAACATTAGTAATGCCATGAGAAGTTTTCTTTTACATAAAACATGAAACAGCCTCTACCATTTAATGGCTAGGATATTTCATTCAAGATAATACAAAGGATTAACCTAATGTTTTTCTTCACTTATATCGAGATTTTTTAATGGAGTAAATATAAATTATGACTGATCTTAGAAGGGATGGTCTATGAATTTCTTTTGCCTTAGAAAATACCATAAGTAGAAATGAATTAACTATTCAAAATTTGGGAAAGCAAAAGAGCTCTGGATAACTATTATACGTCTAGGATCCATATGTATTTTAATTTAACAATACTCTATGTGAAATTTCACTTATTTATGGCAGAAACCTTCATTCATTGCTTGGCAGAAATAGTTTTAATTAATGATAAATAGCATTAGTTTATTTTGAGATTGCATATCTGTATTTAGTGTTGTTAGCTTTGGTACCCTTCAACTAGTCATGCAATCAAGAGGAGCTGTAAATATATAGACAGTCAGCTTTTCTAATAATATATGGCAAAATGAGAATAATTAACCTTGGATTTTATATCCTTAAATTACTAACTTAAAAAATCTATTGACTTACGTATAAAGTACTAGTCATAGTAAATATAAAGTATTGTTAAAACTTCTAAATGCATTGTTCCCATTATAAATAATAAATTGGTATTTTCAAGCCAGTGGGGAAACAATAGATGTGAAGAAATCTATAAACATATGCTTTCCATTTTAAGCTATTTATTTGCTTGGACATTTTCATATTGCTCGTCTCTTTCCTGCTATAATAAGACACATTATTGCTTCTATTCTCTGCCCATGCTTTATATCACAGCCAAACATCTGAATTTTTCATAGTAAATGTCAACATATTGAAATGTATATGAATAAAATTATTTGTGGACTTCATATACTTATGTGAATAAAATGCTCACTTCAAACTATATCTTGACTACACATCCAGGGAGGGAAGAATAAAAACACTATCTGTATTCTTCTTTATTGGTTTAGTTTATTCTGATAAAATAACCAGAAAATGTTGCCATTTGTTATTTATGAATGTGTATTCTCTTAGTCACTCTAGTTGATACACACACACACACACACACACACACACACACACACACACATATTATTTGTTATATGTTTCCTTGAGAAAAAGCAACACAAAAAAAATGTTGACTGGCACATCAATGATTTGGTGTATCTCTGTACTGGATAAGTTTATGTCAGAAGAAGCAGAGCTTCCTTTTGCTACTGGATTTTCTTGTCCTATCAGGTTCTGCCACCCTGTTCAGCACCAAATAAGCACACAAAGACTTTTATGGAAGTCTTGGTCAATGGCTAGGACTTCCTATTGGCTAGCTCTGTCTTAATTCTTAACCCATTTCTATAAATGTATGTATTGCCACATGGTTGTAGCTTACCCAGTAATACCCCACCATGCTGTTACTCCTTCAGCAGCACAGTGACTCTCTGGAAGACCCCCCTGCCTACCTTTCCCAGAATTCTCCTTGTCTCCTAGCCCCACCTCTCTTGTTGCCTCTACTGACTATATGCCAAACAGTATTTATTCAGCAACCAATAAGAGAAACATATATACAGATGGACATTCCCATCATCCTAATGTGGCCATTTGATTGCTTGACCGGTGTTTAAGACCATTGTTTTCTGCCCGGAGCTATTCTGTAGGTGGCCTCCCAATATTTCAAAAATTAGCTTAAGCTTTCCTACAACATAAGGATCAGCAAGGAAAGGCAAACAAAAGATGGAGGGAAATAAAAGGTTAAATGTTTTTGTGTTCATGGGTGTAAAGGTGTGGAAAAGAAGACCTGTGAGGGAGTCAATGACTGATACTGTATTGACAGAGGGCTCCTGCTGTAATACTGAACCACATTCCACTCTGCTTCCTGCTGACTATTGTCCTTCCTTCCTTATACAAATACATGCTCCCATCTTGTGGCAGCATGCTGAAGTCTGTAGGGAGAGATTTTATGTACCCTTAGCACTGACCCCACCCATTTGGCCGAGTCACAGGTAAGCAGAACATAGGGGTCAAGACAAAGTCTGGGGGGCTTGGGCTTGGAGAGCAGTGAGCAAACCTTTGGTTCTCAGCTTCCTTGGCTTTTCATATAAGTGGCTTTTCCCTCAATAAAATATCATAGGACATCTCTACTTTGTGTAGCTTAATATTTCCATAAAATCTGGTGTCAGAAGTGAGATGTAAGATCTCTCCCTACAGCTGGGCAGTGGTGGCGAATGCCTTTAATCCCAGCACTCGGGAGGCAGAGGCAGGTGGATCTCTGTGAGTTCGAGGCCAGGCTGGACCGACAGCCTCCAAAACAATACAGAGAAACCCTGTCTCGTAAAACCAAAAAAAAAAAAAAAAGATCTCTCCCTACAGAAGTCCAACATAGCTTCATCAAAACCTATTTCAGTTGAGTGTGAAGAGCTGTACTTGAAGCTCCTCCAATTTGAAAGATACATGTTTTCAGTGACAGTTTTTAACAAACAAAATAGGAATTAGAATATTCAAAATGTTCAAGATTCTGAAAGATGAGAATTGAACACTAGTCTATTGTAACAATGAACTCATTGATATGTCACTGATTCTATTCTCTTAGTAAAGTCCAGATCTGTGTCTGGTTCTCAGCAGCTATCAGCTCCAGCCCTGCTCTCAAATTCTACACTTTGAGCCATTCTCCTATAGAATTGAACAGCCCCTGTAAACTTTCCACTTTTTACCAATAATGGGAAATGTTTTAGCTCTCCACCGAATTCCAAAGGCTATCCTCACCAAAGGTTCTTCAGTATGCACAGTGGGTTTTCCTTTTCTTAGATCCAACAGCAATTTCCTTGGTGCTTCCAAAACTCTGTTCCATATCTTTGCTGTCCTATTCAGTGTCCATAATCTTCAAAAGTGTTCTGATTATTGTTTATTGTCAACTTTGACCCAACCTAGAGTAACTTTGGATGAGGAACCTCAATTGAAGGATTGTCCCGGCACTTAACCTGAGGTCACTGTTGTAGGATATTGTAATTATTCCTAATTAATATCAGAGTGGTCCATCATACTTTGGGTAGCATCATCCCAGGACAAGTGGTCATTAATTATATGAGAAAGCTAGCTAAGCATGTCTGTAATCACTGTTTCTCCATAGATTCTGCTTGAATTTCTACCATGACTTCTCTCAATGATGCATTGTGACATGGGAGAATGAGCCAAACAATCACTTCCCTCCTTTGTGTTACCTTTAATAAGAATGTATTATCAAAGCACTAGAAGAGCAAACTAGGACACAAAGCAAATGTCATTGCAGTTTTTAACATGACATCATGGGAGTCCCTTATTTTCTCTAAATGTTTTCATAGGTCTCCTGAAAGTGACTATTCACTGCTGCCTTCAAAGAACCTCATGATATGGCCTTCTTTTGATTTTTAACCTTAAGGAATTTTACCTGCTGTTCTGGCTTACTGGTTTTGAACAAT